TTATTAACGACGACGACAACAACAACGACGACAACGCCGGACAAAATTTTTCCCTTAATATACCTTTCCCTTCCATCTTTGATGGTACGGGCAAGGTAAAAATTGTCACAGGTGATACAGTCAAAACTCATGGTTAATGGGTGCTACAAATGGTTTCTATAGCCAAAGAAAACGTATTCTTTGAATGAGACATCTTCCATAAAATTTATTCATGCCTTTATGAAATTCACTGTATAATTTTCAATTTATTCTTTGTAGTATTACCCATGTAACTAATATGGCCATGAAAAAAAAAAGGCTAAACTAATGATATAAATGTCCTGCCTGAACTGTAATATATTGTTTATAATACCGGTATAACAATTTAATGCGTCTTAGAATTGGAACTAGTGTGAAAGGATTGGTGGGTATAATACTGTATATTAATTCATCTAAACCTAGCCTAATGCCAAGGCACACATTTCCTGACTTTTCCTCTGCTATAGATCTTAATTACTGTCTAGAAAGGATTTTCCATCATTGTTGTTTTTTACTCATTTTCTAAAACTAAAAAAAAACATTGCCGCGAAAACGGGTTATTTATAGTATGGGAAAGATCGATGACTCATATTGCAACTTTCGAGTGGGTGGTGCTTGAATGAATAGAAACTAAGACACTTTCTTCACGAGTAAGTTTTCTCCCACCGCACACAAATCTGTACAATCTGATTGTCAGTTAACAGGGTTAAAGTGAGATTTACATCTAAATCCAGTTTAATAACTTCCTTCGCAGCTAACTAGAGTAGACGCAGCACCACGACTAGCTCTGTGTACATACGACGACACACACACGTTGGACTACAGCACAACAAGCAATAATATTGGAGCTGTTGATCAACAAGCGCGAGCAGTGCGGTTTTTACCCAAGCAAGTAAACGCAACACGGTGCAACAAAATAGCAGAGCTTGCAAACGGCGCAATATTGACGCCTGATTTTGACTTACCTCAAAGTTGTTGATATGCAGCACTGTTTTGACAATTTCAACGCGAGAAATCTCACGCCAACAACTGCATGGAGAGCCATCTTGATTATTCTTGCTGACCCGGGTAACTTTGTGTCACCACAGGCGGCGCTCTTCACCACTAAAAGTCTCAAAGTCTCAAAATATGAAAAACACGGTCATTTCACACCTGCTTTAAAAAGTGGCCACAAAAAGCTCTTCTTTGCCGGTTTACTGTGAATCCTCTGTGAAAAAAATAGGACAAATTTTCGCACTGGGATGAAATTAATTGCAAGTGCATCCCAACCAGAACGGCCAATTCTTACCCCCTTACGTCATTTTATGACTACCTTCCGCTTGATCCAATGACAGAGGTTTATGGGTAGAATAGTACAAAGTTGGTTTGATCAAAATGACAACGAACAAGGGTCTCCTCCTCAAAGGAGAAAGCTGTATTTTACATGCTGTTAAATGGGGCCAAAGCATAATTTTAACAGTCAGTTCTATTTTTTTTCTATCCATAAAACAAACCATAGTTTGAGAAGGTGCTCTAGTCACCGCCCTCTAGAGGAATATATTAGTATCAAGGCAACGCACTCCAAAAAGTTCGAAATATAGCAACCAAGCAAACCACATATATATGTTATGTTTGTTATGTTTATTTTAACACCTTTATTGCATTTCATAAACCACTTTCTGAAGGGTGGGGGACACAATATCAACTGTCCCCTCCACTTTCCAGATTTATCCAAATATCAATAATAGGCTTATATCAAAGCCTGCGTTTGTGTAAGGCCTTTGGTTCTGTGTACATGTACTGTATTCTTAATGATCAAGAATGAAAATCCCAAAGTATGCACCAAATGACTTTATTTTGGTTGCATTTTTCAAAAATTTCTACCTTCTGAGGGGGCACATCCCTCCTCGGGGTTACACACCTATGTTCCGACACCCCTATATTCCGACAACCCTATATTCCGACACCCCTATGTTCCGATATTCCGACAACCCTATATTCCGACAACCCTATGTTGAGATGCTAATAGGTTCTGACACCTACGAAATTTTAGAAACATTTTTGAAATTTCACTGCGTTTTTATCTCTTTACTATAAAAAAAAATATCATTATTCTTCTTCAAATATTATTCTACGCCCACCTTTTTTAACACAATGTTACATTTCTTTACGTTAAAAAATAACTATGCCGGATTATAATACTAGCCACTCTTCTAGCCATGGGCTTTCATGGAGGTGTTTTTGTGATCATCGTCGGCAATATTCTCAGACGCGATGTATCCTATCAAGCTTCAGACGCAAAATATATATTTTTTTTAATTATTGCCAAACGTTGAGATCAACAATAAACTATGCACCTGACAGTCTTCATGTGGGCCTCTGACAACTTGTACTCGGGGAGACCTAAATAACATTGTTTAGTACTTTTATATTCGACGATCATTCAATAAATTCTGAGCCGGCCAGAATGTGCCATATTTTCAGTGGAAATATGTACGCTAGTGGTCGAAAGCCAAAATTGGATAAATACCTCTCCCCATGGTAGAACAAAGCAACATGTTTTTTCTCTGTTCAGCGCGATCAGTCTAGTTACAGAATACTGAGTGTACAATTAAAATTAAGACAAGGCTGTCAAATTTACATGCCATAAAATAGATAGAAACATGGGAATTAATTTGGTCAATTTTGGCCGTAGAATCTGAGCCGTTTTGCCCCCGAAAATCAGGATAAATATGTTAGCTTTAAAAAATTATACACAGCGTCAAATAAAAAGGAAATTTTATGGGATCAACCTTATACAAAGATATAATTACGTAATAGCCTGTCACATATTAAATAGGAATACCTCAGACAAACACCATCATGTTATATATCAAATTAAAGCTTGGTGTAGCGTACAAGTATTACGTTGGATATTACATCGTATAAACCATTACTTATTGACATTATGAATTCATTAACTTTATTATACGTTATTCAAAATCATCAAATGGCATTTTCTGGGCAAATCCTGTCTATGATAAAATGAATTAGTCATGACATATTCATGTATTTGAAAATAGGTCTTTTTATGCTTTCTCAATATTCTATTTTATTTATTTGTTTATTTATTTATTTGTTTGTTTATTTGTTTGTTTATCTGTTTATTTATTTATTTATTTATTTATTTGTTTATTTATTTATTTATTTGTTTGTTTATTTGTTTATTTATTTGTTTGTTTATTTATTCATTTATTTGTTTGTTTGTTTTTTTGGTTGTTTGTTTGTTTGTTTGTTTGTTTGTTTGGTTGTTTTTTTGGTTGTTTGTTTATTTATTTAAGAGAACGCTATTACACTGCCAAGAAATTATATATAGATAAAAATGGAATTCAAATAAATGGCGAAACGTTGCCTGGCCTAAGATTTACATAAGTAAATTAAACATATGTAGCAAAGAAGTTTGATTAATTTACACAAACGTAAAATACAAAATCGACGACTGCACAATGGAGCTAATAGGCAGTTTCAAATACATCTGCAGAACACGAAGGATATTGAAGAAATAATGTAAAGTATAAATACGGGATATACATGTTTTGGCAGATATAAGGATAAGTATTTAAATTGTGTATTATACCAACTGTAATTTATGAGTGAAACATATGGGAATATTTTCAGAATAAAGAGGAACATCAGAACAATGCAATGGAACAACGAAGAATAGAATTT